CCCCCACACACACACACCCACACACACACACACACCCAGGGCTCACCTCTCCCAGGGCCATCCCCCCAGGGCTCACCCCCCCAGGGTGCAGAGGCTGACCTGGCCAAGGCCCCCAAAGGCTCCCGGGGCGCAGGGCTGCAGCGGGGCCAGCCTGGAGTCCACCAGCCCTCCCGGGGGCGGCTCCTTGCCGGGGACGCTGTTGTAGTAGTTGTGCTCCGCGGCCTCCTCCTCGGGGCTCGCCGGCCTGGGGCAGACAGCCGCGCTGAAGCAGGGCGGCCCAGCAGGTCCCTGGGCACCCAGGCCTTGAAGCTCACACCCTGGGAAGTCGCGTCCAACCCTGCGCTGAGCAGAGAGGGCTGTGGGGCCAGCACCCAGGTCCCCTCCCTGCCTGTGGGCTCCCAGCTCTCTAGAACTTTCCATGGCCTAAGGTGGGTCCTCACCTGGGCTGCCTCTGCCTCGGGCTGGGGGACCACAGCTGGACGCCAAGGAGACATGCCCCAGAACGCACCTGGCCCCAGTCCTGCACCTGAGACTCCCAGGAGGCCCTGCAGCCCGTCGCAGCCCAGGGGGTGGTCTCCCCAGCCAGCGGCAGACAGCTGCAGGGTACAGGTGGGGTGGCCACTGAAACAGGTGCAAAGCCGCATGCAGGTACACGTGTAACCCATGTACGGGTGATCACGTGGTCCATGTAAGGGTGAGTTATTTGTGTGCACCCTGTGCAAGGGTATGTGTATGCACATATGTGATGCCACCTCAGGATCATGTGTGTCCCATGTAAGGGTGTGTGCATGACACCACCTCACATGGCCTGTGTAGGGGCGTGTGCGTGCACGTGACACCGCCTCCTGATGACGTGTGGCCTGTGTTAGGGCGTGTGTGTGTGCATGTGCGTGACGCCGCCTGTGCAGCGAGACAGCACAGAAGGCCCCACCCCATGCACATCTGTCCTTGGGTACGCCTCCCACCAGCGGGTGAAGTTGGACTCAAGGATATGAACCTTGACCCCTCTAGGGCAGTCATGAGCCCAGCGGGTCCCAGCCCCCCGGCCCCGTGTGGCGTGCCCTGAACCTGCTGCTGTGTTTGCCGTAAACCCGCTCGGTCAGCCAACCTCGTGTGTACAGTCCGGGAAACGTGACCCCAGTGCATGCAGACGCTGGTCAGCACACGGCTGTGACCCTGCCATGTGTCATATCACGGGTCGTCATGGCTGTCCCACCTGCAAGCTGGAACCGCCAACCCGTCTGGGCTAGCGACAACCGCGTGACGGTGCAGGCCCAGCCCCTTAGAGGCCCGCTCTCTGGGCCTGCGCCTGGCCCTGGGAGGGCCCTGCCTGTTACGGGCCAGGACATGGGACCCTGGAGGAGCCCGAGGCAGGGGCGCAGCCACACACTTGTGCAGGAGTGGGGCGGGAGGGCCAGGGGCCAGGACATGGGAGCCTGGAGGAGCACGAGGCAGGATGCACGCACACACACCCCATGCAGGAGTGGGGCGGGAGGGCCAGGGGCCCGGGTCTCGGGTGGGAGGGGCCGCTCACCTCTCGGGGGGCACGGCCACCTTGGGGGGGCTGTGCAGGTACTGTTTGAAGCGCAGCTCGAAGGCTTGGCCCACGGTGCTGATGACAGTCTGGGCGAGGCCCTCACAGCACTCCAGGATGTGGCAGGCTAGGGGGGCGGGG